AGGAGATGTAAGTGGGTTACATGAAATCCATTGGTGATAGATTAGGGAGGTGGGAGAAAGCAAAGCAGGGAAACCTCTGGGATTGGATAAAAAGTAAAATGATAGACACATTACTTAGGTGGGTGCAGGATAGTTATCAGTCAACAATTATCATGATAACAATGAAGGAATTTATGGTCTCAATCCTGGCCCATTTGGTTGTGCCCGGAGGGGGTCTGGAAAAAAGGAAGTTACAAATTACCCTGACATTTCAAGGATATATTATTGTAGATGCAGAAAGACAGATAGGCTCAGTTAAGTAAAGGTTGCCTAGGAGGTGACTACCCACTGTAACTGCTTTTAGTTAAAGTTTAATTTCACACCATCCTTTGACCTTCCCTGAGCTTGTCAGGTTAGAATATGTGGCCCCTTTTGTCCACAGTTCTATGGATTTTAACTAATGCATAATATTATGTGTCTACAATTACAGTTTCATACAGAATAATTTCAGAGCCTTAAATATCCCCTGTGCTCCACCTATTCCTTCCTTCCTCCCTCCTCCAAACCCCTGGCAGCCACTGATATTTGTGTACTCTCTATGTAATGTTTCCATAGTTTTGCCTTTTTCAGAATGTCATATAGTTGGAATCATGCAAAATGAAGCCTTTCAGAGTGGCACTTTTGCTTTAGCAACAGGCATTTGCATTCCTCCCTGTCTTTTTGTAGCTTGATAGCTCATTTCTTTTTCTCTCTGAATAATATTCTATTTTACAGAAGTACCACAATTTATTAGACATTCACTTATTGAAAGACATCTTGGTTGCTTCCAAGTTATGGCTATGTACACTAATAAAAGAGAAACATGCAAATTAGTGTCACTGTAGACATTCACTTATTGAAAGACATCTTGGTGGCTTCCAAGTTATGGCTACCTACACTAATAAAAGAGAAACATGCACATTAGTGTCACTCCGCTATGCCCACCAGCCAATCAGGATACTTATACTTAACCCAACAAAGATGGCGGTTAATTTGCATACATAAGCATGCAGTGAAGACTGAAGGCTCCAGCTGGAGTGAAGACTGAAACTTATACTTAACCCAACAAAGATGGTGGTTAATTTGCATACGCAAGCATGCAGTGAAGACTGAAGGCTCTGGTTGGAGCGAAGACTGAAGATTGAAGACTGAAGAGGCTTGGCTTCTCAACTGCGGCCGAAGTGGAGAAGCCAAACCTGGCTGCGGCCACAATGGAGAGGCCAAACCTGGCTGTGGCCACAATGGAGAGGCCTAGCCTTGCTGTGGCCGGACCAAAAGCCTGGGTCCCGGGTGTTGGAGGAAAACCAGTGCCAGCAGCCAGGGGAAGGAAGGCCTATTGCGCGAATCTTCGTGCAACGGGCTTCTAGTTATGAATAAAGCTCTATTGCTGCTGTCAGCATTTATGTGTAGGTTTTGTGTGGATATAATTTTTCAACTCATTTGGGTAAATATCAAGGAGAGCAAATGCTGGACCGTATGGCAAAAGTGTATTTAGTTTTATAAGAATCTGCCAGACTGTCTTCCAAGGTGACTGCATCATTTTGCATTCCCACCAGCAATAAATGGGGGTTCTTTTTGCTTTGCATCCCTGCCAGCATTTGGTGACCTTTCCCCTCATCAAACACAGTTACATCACTTTTAGTTTATACTGAGTTTGCTGTGAACCAAAATCCCTTGGATGTTTTTACATGACTTCATGGCTAAGTCACATTCTCTTTCTTCTAAACTCATGCAGTTCATCTTCAGACTTCCCTAAGTGCTCTTTCTTCCCATTGGTGCCTCTCCCAGATGCCCTGGGGTCTCTTATTTATTAGGTGCACTTATAACTGCTGTATGTCTTGCTGTGAAGGACTTTGGGAGACTGAAGTTCAGAAAACTTGAGGTGTCTGGGAGTTTACATTCATCTCCCAACCAGGAGGGCCCATAGACAACAGCTGACTGGTATGGAGGTACAAGAACCCAGCTCCCTTGTCTCAACTTTGATACAATTTATATTCTCCAGAGCTTCTTAAAGGATCACACAGACGCCAGGCTTAACCTAAACCACATTATCTATCTTCTCTCACTTCTTACAGGTTTCCCCTGAGGACACAACTTTAATAAATCACTTGCATATGAATTCCCATCCTAGGCTCTGTTTCTAGAGAATCTGACCTTGTTTTATGACTTCTTTTGATTACAGCACACAATTGTTTTCAATATTTTTGACTATTATAACTATTCCTTTAAAATGGCATTGGCTTAACTTCTAATAGGTTATTTTGAATTATTCATGCATTATTGTTTGTGTCTATTGAATCTCTAAGGGCCAGATTTTTCTTTTTACTTACAAAAAATTTTAGGGCCAGATTTTTTCAGAAAAAAAATCACCTCTCCCATATTATATTGAATGTCAATGGGAAAATCTGATTAATTTTATAAAACTTCACTGCAAAGTAACCATGAATGGAATAGATTTATTTCATTAGGTGAGGATTAACTCCACTTTATTCCTGCATGCCACATCTTTCATTGAGCTGCTTGACAGTGGTACTATTTTAGAGAGTAGACATACTGTATTTCAGAGTCTCATTAGTATCAGGATTTCTTCTTGTGCTAAAGATTTTGTCTGAATGTTATCTACCTTTTATTTTTTTATTTTTTAGTGGTGGACACCTACTTGGTCAAAAAGCTTTTCTTCAATGAAAGGCCCATGTCTGCATTTCCCTGTTATGTGTCTTTGGACACAGCCTTACATGGAAGGGAAGAACTGTTCAGAAAGTTGCCAGCATTGTTCCTGGTAGCCCTGGATCCTTTCATAAGGATGAAGCTTACAGAGAAAGTATCCCCTGATTGGAATGACAATTATAAAAAGGGAAAGGGCCACTGTGAGGTAACATGGCCCCAAGTCAGCTGTACAGGACTGGAGGTAACACTCAGGTCTGTGGCCGCCTAATTCACTCAAGGAAGAACAAAGGTCAATGTCATCAAGACCTGGAATGGAAATGTTTCTAAAAAATTTTCTCATAGTATATCTAAATATCAAGTCACCAAAATGAATGTGAAGCCAATGGTATGGGAGGACATAAAAAAACAGCATAGAGGATGATAGGATTTTGATTGATATGTCAAGGAAATGGTCATAATAATAGGTTGTTTGGAGGATGTGAAAAGAATTATAACACAACTAAAGATACCAGCCAAAACATTGTGACAGAGAATGTGACTGGTTCTGCTGAAAGGTTTTCTAGTCTTCACATCAGTGCCTGTGAAAGAGTTCATACCCAAGGAATTCTGAGTGTGGGAGATCATTGCTCATGCTTTCACCAGACATACCAGATTGCATGAAGGAGAATACAAGTGAAGAATGGCATTCTGGAGAAAGTGAAAAGGATGGTTCAAGAAGCCCATTCCCAGTCCTTCTGGAGTTTTCTGTTTGTTTCACAATGTAGAGTGTGAATAATTCTCTAAGACTATTATAAGCAAAGAAAATTCATATCCTTTTTGAGCTAGATCAGACATGGAAAATACATTTCATTTCATGCATTATTGCTGATCAAATGATAGTTGTTGCCTGAGCTCCATGTTGAGAAAGATTTTGAGACTGTATCTGGGTTGATTGAAAAAGAGTGCTATTACCAATGAATAATGTCTGTCACTGTGTGTGTGTGTGTGTGTGTGTGACATGTGGCAAGTTTTTACCATTGAGCTCCTCTTTTGTGAAGAGCAGATTTAAGTATTGTGTTTTTCTTTCATTAGCTAGTAGTTTGGCTTTGAGCAAGTGGCTTCATGTCTTTGCACACTGGTTTCCTTTAAGAAGAATGAAGTTTCTGTACTGGATGATCTGTGTTGACTCTTTAAATCCTAAAATTATATGACTGATTACTAGTCAAACTAATGCATTATTATGGGAAACTGTAGGGTGTGTCTTACAGTGGTTCCCCCAGAAGAGGACCTGAGACAGATGCAAGTGCAAGTGATTTAAAAATATATATGTTTTTATTGATTTCAGAAAGGAAGGAAGAGGGAGAGAGATAAAAGCATCAGTGTTGAGAGAGAATCATTGATTGGCTGCCTCCTGCACACACCACACTGGGGATCAAGCCTGCAACTAGGACATGTGCCCTGACTGGTAATCAAACCATGACTTCCTGGTTCATAGGTCGACGCTCAACCACTGAGTCATGCCAGCTAGGCTTAAGTTCAAGTGATTTAAATAGGAAAGTAGCCCTAACCGGTTTGGCTCAGTGGATAGAGTGTCAGCCTGCGGACTCAAGGGTCCCAGGTTCGATTCCGGTCAAGGGCATGTACCTTGGTTGCGGGCACATTCCCAGTTAGGGGGTGTGCAGGAGGCAGCTGATCGATGTTTCTCTCTCATTGATGTTTCTAACTCTCTATCCCTCTCCCTTCCTCTCTGTAAAAAATCAATAAAATATATTTAAAAAAATAAAAAATAAAAAAAATAAATAAATAGGAACGTAAAGAACCCTGATAGGGTGTGTTATCAAATCAGTTACCACTTATTCCCACTGGGGAAATCAGAGTGAGTCCTATCTGGGAGACAAGATTGCTTGGATAGTTTTACACCAGCTCCTGTCAATCATTGAATGAGGGCTTGCGGGTGAGGGAGGGCAGCTTAATTTACTTCCTCTCTGCTACACTGGCAAGCAAAGCAGATGTTGGCACTACATACAGGAAGTCCTCAGGCAGGAATACAGTTCCCAATCTGACTGAGGCACCCTTAAGTAGTAAGTCAGGGGAAATGGACAGGGTCAGCTAGACTAGGATTCTTGGGGTAATAAGTAAAAGAACTCATTGGCAGCTGGGGTATTAAATACAGTTGATACTCAAGCATTGTGATAATAAATTACTTGCTTTTGAATCTGATTATGAGTTGAGTTAGAGAAGTCTGTGAAATCTACTAGTTATTTTTTATTTGAATACCTATGAGGAAAGTCTTTAGACACATTATCTGGTAATGTTTTTTACTGTTTTCTTCACAGTCAAAATACCATGACAACCTAAACAAAAAGGTAGCCTCAACCAAAACCAAAGAAGGTCTGAAACTCGTGTTGATAAGTGGAAATGTTTCATGTTTTCAGGTAAGTGGTTCTATTTAGTAAATCTATAAAGGAACAATGGGGTCTAATGAACTGGTTCTGTGATTTAAGGTTAACGATTAAGATCGTTTAAGTTTGAGAAGTTAAACCCACCTGAGGTTCATGCAGCGTTATACTTACCATTTCCGATATTCTTCCACCTATACTCATGTGTGGAGATCCAAGTTTAACCACAAACCAGGTTGTACAAACCTACCTCTTTTATTTCTCTACTAGAGGTCTCATGCACGAAATTCATGAACTTGGCGGGTATGGAGGTGGGGGTTGGGGGACGCTCAGCCCAGCCTGCGCCCTCTCACAGTGTAGTCCGGGAGCCCCTGCGATGGATCGCCCCACAGAGGGAGACCCCGCCCACCCACTGCAGCCGGCCAGTCAGTGGCCTGGGCCTCCCTCTTTGAGGCAATCAATC